TTTTCTTCTACCCTGAAGATTGAGGTGATACGTTCCTCCAAAACATCGGTTAACACCACATATACATGGTGCCAAATCCCAGAAGACTGCTTTCTTCATAGTCACCGCCATGAAAGCCTCAAATCTTACATTCACTGGATGGCTTCAGCGGTTGTGTTGTCATTCTTGCACTAGACTTTGACATTCCAGTCTCTTGAGCTAGATGTTTCAGTGATTTTCTAGGTGTATGTTCAAGTCTGGCCTCTATGTCATCTAATTTCTCCTTGGTAAGCACTCAATGCTTACGTTTTTCTTTCTTGTCCATTAAGAGTCCTGTTGTTCTAAGTATATTCACCAAATTATGAATTGTTTGAATGCTGGGAACTCTTTCATCACGAAATTTATGTCAAAATTTTCCCCGACACTTTCTAGCAGATCCGTATTTCACATGGGTGACATACAGAAATACATGTTCCTCTAAAGTATACCACACCATTACATACCACACTTCCTTCCAGCTGCACTATAGCCCTATGGTCAACTTAGCCTCTAACAGAAATGAGTACCAGGAATCTTCCTGGGGAGTAAAGTACGGCCATGGCATAAGGCTGACAACTTTACCGCCATCTTTGAGCCAGTTGTCTAGACAATGTGGGACCCTCAACGTCTCACAACCCTATGGGCCTTCACGGCCTGGTACAGGGATAATTTTACTTTTTTTTTTTTTACGTACGATAATATACCAACTGAAACAGTGACACAGTCAGTTTTACTGCTGTCATATGAATTAAGCACAGAAATGGAAGTGAGTCATACCAGCACGGGAACATCGGCCACTGAGGGTTTCAGACCTCCCCCCTCTTTGTTAAACACACAGCACCTCTCTATTTCTGAAAGCCCAGGGCTTTTCTAGAAATATAATGTGTGTAAAACCGTGACTGCAAGTGAAGATGGGGACATTTTTGAGCCCAGTGGAGTCATTGGTCACTTTCTATGCATGAAGAGAAACTAGAAGTCATAAGTGCAGTGATGGTACAGTGAAGTAGTAGTGAACAAAAACAAGCCATAAAGATCTGAAATGGTAACTGAGAGTGAGATAATAACTGTTCTGTTATAAGATAATGGTACATTGTTTTGGTCTGCATTTAAGACAGGTTATTGGAAGTTGAAATAATGGCTGTGGCATTCTTTACGATAATGATTGTGCTCATGTGCTTCCTGCACCACCAATGTTTTCTGCATGTTCACACTTTAAAAACTGTGGCAACATAAAACCAGATACTGTGGATGAGAAACCTAGACATAAATGGAAGAGCACAGATACATGGAATCTGTGGTTAGCAAGATATTGCAGTATATTTTTAACTTCTACATTTCCATTGATACGTAGTTCAGTAGTAGGCTATAGGCATTTTTAAAATGTATCTAAGAGCCACAGTTCTGAAAATACAAATGTTCTCTCAGTAAACAGAGGACCAACAGGCATTTTATGAAATAAGTATACTAATGCCTTCATAGATTGCTGTGTATGTTCCAGTTTTAATGATATATTGTGTGGTCCAATTTTGTTGGTGACATTCCTCTGTGTATCCAGTTCAGATCAGTTTCTTCCTATTAACCAATTGCTACATTGAAGTGTGAGATATAATGTTGCTATGAACATGTGGCAAGGTCCTGTACAAACAAGTTTGCAAACCAGAATATCTGGGCCGAACAAACTCTAATGTTGGAAACCCGTATCCTCACAAATAGGATTCTGTACTAAAAATGACATGTTACAGAGCAGCGCAGTATCTGTGAAATAAAAATTATACTACAGATGTCTTCTTTGTCTCCGATCTCACATACAGATGTTCCTCATCACTGCTTCAGAGAAGACTCCCCTTGATGTCACTATCCCATCCCTTTGTGCAGGCCACAATTTGTGTTTGCATTTACCTGTCAGCCATAACCCAAATTTCAGCATTGTCACATAATGCACACGTACACAGACACATGAAATTGAGCACTTTTACATTGCTTTGGCAGTTATGTCAGATGAGTCTATCGTTACTTTTGATGTCCTTGATTTTCCTTGTTCAACTTTTTGTAAGAATTCATCTTCTTCCTCATGATCAGCAGCTTCTTTCCTGAAACAGCAATTATACCTTGTCATAGGTGTAGCACTGTGTAAAGAACATAAAAATATTACTAGTTTTCTGGAAGTACTACTATATCCTCCTTAACAGCCATTCTGCCCTTGGTTCCTCCAATATATTGGCAGTACATTAAACTGTCCATTATGTACAGGAAATGAGATAATCTGGTTACATGAATCTGCTAGTTGCACACACAGTCACCCAATTTTCATGAAGTTTTGCTCTTTTGTGGCTTTTTTCTTATTTCCTGTTTCAAAACCAAAGCTTTTGTTTTTCAATTTAGTTCTTGGCGGGAATTTCTTAGGTCACATTTTGGATTGATGAGTGAAAATTTTAAGATATGCTGTATTGTGATCACAGATTGAACTGGCCTTCACTGTAATCATGGGTCACTGTGACTCTAATGGCATGTGTATGATGGAGAATGACCAGGTAGCACTGCTAGTGTCAGGTGGAAGATGAACGTATGTCCATTGCAACTTTGTTTTTGAAGTAACTTAATAAAGATGATAAATTTTTGCCAATTGCATGTGACTTCTGGATGTGCAGGAGCTGACTGTTTCTTCATTCCCTGTTTCAGTGCTGTATCCAATAAAGCAGTGATCACAGTGAAAACCTAAATACAAAGCCTCTAACCTTTCATGTGTTCTCATTTCTGATATTCAGTAATATGCCAAGACAGACAATTATGCACATATTTATTTACTGTTCATTAATAAATGAAATTTTTACATGAAGCTGAATCTGTCTACTTACGAGTATTTATTCTCTTGTGAGGACAAGAAGAGTGATTTGGGACAAGCTTTGTAGTAGCGCCAGCACTCGCCATGGCCGTTTTCCTGTCCTGCTCGCTCTGCACTAACATACTCCTCTAGCATGTCAGCAAAAGGAGATTTGCTTGCCCTAATAACAATTATTACACATTGGCGAAGAGTTATAATTGTCATAAATGGCCAGATCATTGAAAATGTTTTGGGCCTTTTAAATACCTAACAATTTAAATGAATAAATATGCAAAAATATAATACCAATAATAAAAACATATTTTCAAAACTGAAGAGAGGTATTGTACAAATGTACACAATATTGTATCTATGTTTTCTAAGTGCAACATGGGTTGTTAGATAGCAGGCATGATATAGTTTGATCACTACTGGAGGTAACATTTAAGGGACAGATTACAAAAGTAAGGCATAAGAAGTAAATTGCAAACAAATGAAATTGACAAACTTGTCAGATAAATAGCTGTAGACATATAAGCAGAATGAATGTAAGGAAACAAACATGCTCCCAAAAGACAAGATGGTATAGAAATATAGGAATAGGTGGAGAAACCAATTTAACTTAACTCCAAGATAGGTTTTGGAGGAGGGAGATGTTGCTGCATTAATGCATTACTGAGTTAACGAATTAAAGAAGAGTGAAAGAATGTATGTGAGAGGGTTGTCAGGGCCAGCTGACAGGAAGCAACAAGGATGTACATTTTATTCGAAGAATGTTAATATTTTGAATACACGTTGCAGATCAGAGAAGCGATGACACCTCTGGAGGACCTAGGCATAGGTGGGAGGACAATATTAAAATGAAGCTTAAAGAAATCAGATTAGGGGGTATGGACTGGGTTCATCTGCTGAGGATAGAGACCAGTGGTAGGCTCTTGTGAACACGCTAATGAACTACAGAAGACTAGCTGAGCAACTGTTAGCTACTTAAGGGTGACTGTGCTCCATGGATTAAGGTATGGTGTTAGGTGGCCTCCAGTGACATAATGTGCATACCATATTTTATGGAAATCATTTAACTGGTTATAAAATTGAAAAGGGGAGAAACAGCATGGTGATCTCATAAGCAGACTTTCCTTGAGGAAAGGAAATAGAAGCATACTAAGAATGTCAGACTAGGGGTTTTGATGGAACATGTATAGATTTTGGTACACTTTACAATATAAATTAAGGCCTTACATTTATGCCTTTGTTCAAGATGTGTCATTTTGAGAAAATTTAAAACTGACTTTATTGTACAATATTGTAACTGAAAATCTGTTTTTCTGTTTAGTAATAACTGTCTTGCTTATAGAATATCTGATGTACTTCAAGTATCACAACTGATATAAATCTAGAAAATTGAAAGAAATAGTTTTTTAATTAACAAAACTATATGGGGCTGGTACAGTAACATTGTGTGCCTGAAAATAACCATGTTAAAACGAAAACAAATGAGAACAGAAAATACAAGGTAGAAGATTATGATATTTTAACTTCAGCCATTGTCTGTAACATAAAAGTTTAACATTTATTTTGTAAGTACTGTAACATATGGTACCGTTGTTAAGCAACGATCATAAGAAGGAACATATTGTATCGGCTTCTTAAACCCATTCCTGCAGAAATGATATCCAGACTATTGCTAGGCATCCACCAATAACAACAACAGAGGTACTGTTTGAGGTAGGCTGTGCCATAGCTCAAGTGGTTAGTCGCTGGCTTCCCACCGCGGCGGCCCGGGTTCGATCCCGTGTCTGGTTAAGTGGGATTTGTGGTGGACAAAGTGGCACTAGGGCAGGTTTTCTCCGAGTACTTCGGTTTCCCCTGCCAATCTTTATTCCACCAATTGCTCCACACTCACCCTCACCTATCTGGGGCTGGTACAATGGGCCAGAAGTGGCCACAGCACAAGGGACTTAGTCCCACCCCACTAGCAATAAAAAAATACTTTTTGAGGTGGTGTTTTCTGTTGGGTTCTCCCGAGGCTATAAAGTGAGGGCCCCATGCTGGCTGAGGATAGTTCAGTTGAGTGAAGTGAAGTAGATGGTTGGTGAGAGAGAGTTCAGTTGAGGGTTGACAGTTCAGTTGAGCTCTGCAAGGGAGGTTAAGAAGAGATGGTGATCCAGTTCAGTTGAGAAGAGTTCAGTTGTGGGATATTCGCTGGACAGTAATGACATGAGCGCGGGAAGGCGAAGGATCACCATTGTTGGAAGTCATTGCTAGGGAACGGCTGTTGAAGATGCAGCAGGCCGGTTATGGTAATTTGTGAATTGATGAGATTAGCGGTGGCGCTGTAATTGCTTGTATTTCCGAGTCTTGTGTATAAGCGGTCATTAAATATATTCACCAATCCAAACCCTGTCTATAGTTATGCATCCCTAAATCGTGCCAGTATGTTAAATATGATTTGTTACTTTGTGGAAGAATGTAAATCATTTCCTTGGGGAAAATATTTGGGTCCAAGAGGGATAAAGAAAGTGAACAGTTTAGGATATGATATAAGAGGAGCTACATGATTTACATAGATCACCTAGGATTGTTGGGGTACTGAAATCAATACGATTACTTTGGAGAAACCTGTTTTAAAACTGAAGAGAAAATTTGAAAAGAGGAGGTAACATCTAGTAAATAGGACAGGAGGTGGATGTGATTACCTAAGATAATGTATGTGTATATTGGGATAACAACTGAACTTACGTGAAAAAGAGTTTTACAATCTCTCCAAGTAGACCAAAGTGATGCAAGGATTGGCCATGCACTTCACAAATGGCTCTCAGGAGACAAGCCTTGCCATCCATACCGAAATTGGCAAGCAGATCTTCCACCACAATGTACAGAAGTGCCCTGTGAAAACAAAAAATGCAGGATATACATGCTATCATGTAGAAATGTTTTGATGTAATTTTTAGAGGGTCCCTTGTGAAGTTATGTAACTTCAAATTATTCCACTGCAAATACTATACTATAACCAGATTGGCAACTTAAAATAGAATAATTTGAATTTTTACCATGATAAACGTAGGCTAGATTACAGTTAATTCACTTCATACCTTGTACAAAAAATTTCAGTTTTTCCTATCCTAAATTGTATAGAGTCTCATGGCATACCAAATGCCATAGACTACTTTTAAAGTTGTATTGGTGAGTGATTTCACATTTGTTATATGTGTTTTAATTTATATAAGTTTCTGAATTTGCATTACAATTCATAAAAATAATTAACGTTTTATAAATAGCTAATAAATGTCACAAGCGAAAATATGACAAGATTAAACATGTCCATTCTGAAAAATGCAAGAAATGAAATCAATACAGAAACAGGATAAAGGCAGTAGTGCTCTAACAACGAAACAACACAAGTCAATGATACAACAAAATAGGTCTGAACAGTACGTCATAGCTGTTACTGCATCGTGAACTGTTATGTGTAAAATTTGCATTTGAGTTCGTAATTCTAAGGGTTACATGTCAGCACACCAGCTGGAAGAATGCTGACTCATATGTATAACTATAATTAATTTAGATTTCTGTTTGAATAAATCAACAATTGCTTTATTAATCAACGTCCCCAGAACTGTTATAAAGAATTCGTGGGAACACATGACACATTCTTTCTCATATGCGTTTGACCTTGACTACTTTATCTTGAAAACGAAATCGATTTTTGTTTGGTAGACGATTATTGGTTGCTGAGTGTACAAGTTAGGACACGTACTTATTGCGTAACAGTTGTTTAGCTATTTCATATAAACCTGAGAATCTCAGCCTTGCAGTATCCTGCATCATAAATATGACACCAGAAAAAATCCATCCAATCTTTCGTGCCGTATTCGCGCACTAGGGGTTCAGGTCGACATTTCACATTTTGGCCTCTAATTTACGCATCGTTAATTTCCTGAAGATACTGTCAATGCGATTTTCTCAATAAATATTGAAATTTGAAATCGTTAGAGCCTTTTCGAGGCCCATCAGAGGGGCCCCTACTTTGGAGCTAGAATGTTCATATTCACTGGGAACGGACATATGATTGATAAACAAACATCCAATGTGATTAAAATCCATCCAACCACACAGGCATAGCGAGGAATAGATGTACATTTACTCACATATGCAAACATTTCAAAAAGTTTTTTCTATTATTCATGTGTGATGAAAACTCGCAAATCCGTCAAAATCTCGAAATGAATTTTTCTGTGATCAAATACCTTCCAAAGTAACATTCGAATTTGTCATAATTAGTGGTGCTCATAAAAAAAACAAATATGTACACCAATACTTATTACACATTTTAGTATTTTCAAGATGAGAGCGATCGTTTAGATCTTCAATAACAGAGACGAAAGGTGTATTCTTAAATATAGTACACAATTTCCAGTGACATTCATTGCAGTTTATTGAGCTTAAATATGGCCATAATCAAAGTGGGCTTTATTATGGGTCACTATGGTTAAAAAAAATATTTATGTCACAGACAAACGGAAAGATTGCCTCCACATAAAGTGTTCTTTGGAAGACAATTCTGCAGCACTTAAATCCAGGCCAGTCTTTAAATCTTTTTGTTCTCAACTATGAAAATTCAAGCAAGGAAAAGGAAAAAATAAAAATGTATTGCTTCTACCATATTGTTTGTAGCAGAACTAAGGTACATTTCTGAAGAAAAGTACAAGTAGTAATATAAATATTCATATAAATTCATTTGTATGACGTTGCATTCCCCATCCTTTTAATATTTGAGTAAGAAAGTATATGAAAACATTTAATCAGGAAGTGGCCAGCGAGGTTTTCCTTATTTTTTTCATTAGTTCTTATTTTCAATCAAAAACGAGTCATCGAGGCTACTGTTTAATCCATTTTTCCCCGTTTTCTGGGTGTCAAAATTCATCACAGAATCATGTTGAGACATTGCTGTATATATAAGATTTAAGGTTTTCACGGCGGTGACTATGAAGAAAGCAGTTTTTTGGGATGTGGCACCGTGTAGATGTGGTGTTAACCGACGTTTCGGAGGAACGTATCGCCTCCATCTTCAGGGTAGAAGGAAAACTGAAACTGAGGGCCACCTCCCCTTCAGAGAACCGTCGGGTCTCCTGTAAATATTTACAGGAGATCCGACCGTTCTCTGGGCCATAGAGTGTACCGCAAATCCACCCATACAAACCTCTACCTTAACGCTGCGTCCCACCACCACCTTTCCAACAAGCAAGCTGCACTTTCCACATTGGTGCACAGGGCTAGAGCTCTTTGTGATCAAGAAGCCTACATGAGGAGTTGGTGCTCCTGGAGGATGTATTCAGGAAGAAAGGATACAACAACCGGAAGATCCACAGAGTTCTCAACCGTTGGCCCAACATCAGCCGGCCTGAAGATAAACCGGGCTCAGTCGCCTTCCTTCCCTATGTCGGGACTATATTCAACTGTATCAGCAGAGTGCTGTCCCGGCACAACATCAAATCAGTGGGTCTCCCTCCAAACAAATTATCCAGTTTCCTCCGGCCGGTCAAAGATAGCCTGGGACTAAGGACACCGGGTGTATACAGTATCCCATGCGAGTGCGGCAAGGTCTGTATTGGGCAGACGGGCCGCTCTGTGGACATGAGGTTGAAGGAGCATCAGCGGCACATCCGTCTCGAACATTCGGACAAGTCAGCTGTTGCTGAACACAGCATCGATCTGGGACACCGCATTCAGCTTCAGAATACCTCCATCCTCGCCACCAAGACCCGATATATGGATCGCATCATTAGGGAGGCCATTGAGATTGAACTCCATCACGACAATATGCACAGAGAGGTGGAGTTTTGTCTCAGCAAGTCATGAAAGCCCCTCATCTGTTCCCAAAATCGCCCCCCCCCCGGGACATGACGCCAGATCCACAAGGCCACACAGTCCATGACCAACCCACATAGCAATGCCCTCCCTTGCCTTTCTCCCTAGACACAATATCCTATACCTGCGCTAACCTTGCTCCTGTCCCAGACCCTTCCCCTCTCCATCTCCACTGATTTCCCATGTAGACTTGTTTCCCCCCCCCCCTTTCCTTCTCTGCTCTCATATAGCTGAGTTTATTTCCAACATTAGTCTGCTTCCACCTGTTCTCACTGTCTCTTCGTTAGCGGATTTTCTTATTTTTCCTTATACCCTGAAGATGGAGGCGATACGTTCCTCCGAAACGTCGGTTAACACCACATCTAAACGGTGGCACATTCCAGAAGAATGCTTTCTTCATTGCTATATATGTTTCAAATCGTGAACTACGTGTAAATAACCGTTTCATAACAAAATGTCACTTAATTGTATGAGAAATTTTAAAAATAAAAATAAGATTATTCTGCAAACACCACTTTTTATAATTGTCTTCCACATTAATCACAACGTCATAGAAACTCAGTCCCGAATACCGGGATCGAAATGGGGACCTTTAGATCTTCAGTCTAACGCTCGCCTAGCTGAGCTATTTCGGCCGGTGGCCGGGGAGTTTTATGCTCTTAAGAGACACTCTGTTCACCACGTGATAAATGACGTAACTGTGAGCATGCCTTGAATATAACAAACACCACACGAAGGATTCAAAGTAAAGTAAAAAGTAAAGCTATCCCTGTAACAGGCCGTGAAGGCCCATAGGGTTGTGAGATGTTGAGGGTCCCACATTATCTAGACAATCGACTCAAAGATGGCGGTAAGGTTGTCAGCCATACGCGTCGGCCGAGCTTTACTCCCCAGGAAAAGTATTTTAATTACTTCCTGGTACTCATTTCTGTTAGAGGCTGAGTCGACCCCAGGGCCATAGTGCGGCTGGAAGGATTAGGTCTGTGGGAACTGCCCACATTCAAGCAAGTGTGACAACGCAAGCTTCATTGCTTAGCAACGACGAGAAAACAGCGGTTGCTAGGCAAAGCCTAGAACAATACGGACAGTGACATGTTTTCTATATGTCCGACTCTAGGTTACATAAGAAGATACATTGAGTGACAGTTACAGTTCTAGATTTCTACAGTTCTACAATTCTAGTTCAGTGTTCAAGGTGTTCACTATTGTTATTATTATTCTTCAATTCTTCAAACTGAAGTTCGTCCGTGTATACCGTGCAACTGTAATAAATACTATAGGACAGTTCAACTAGTAGTTGTCTCTTCATATAATGGCATCCCACATTGGTGACCCCGACGTGATGGCCCTTGCTTCGCCTCTCAAGCACCGTCCTGCGGAACTCGAGGCCCCTAGTTCACATACCAGTGATTCTTCATCTACTCGAATTTCAGCTTCATTGACAGATTGATTGTTGCATTCCTCTTGGGCAGCATCTTGCCACTCCTTCAAAAATAGGTGTTCACGCGTGTCTTCGTCAGTTGTTATAATTCTGTCATAACCCGTCACACTGCGCAATTCTTTGTGGAGAGGTGATGCTGCATCTCGACCTAATTTAGTGTCCGCGCAGGCCTCACCTTCATCTGCCTCGTCTGTTTTACCTGACCAAGAAGCACCTGTTTGCACAAATTCGAACTGCACGTTCACAGGAACAGTTTCAATTATGTGCTTTACAACTTCGCCCATTTTCATGCTATCCTTCCACATACGTCTATGTCTCTTTTCTCCTAATTTCCGCAACAAAGCAGTGTCTTCATTCATCTCCTTTCCACGTGTGCAACATGATCTGCCCATATTCTTCTTGACTTCCTCAATCTAATTATACCGTTTTGGAATCAGTTCTTACACGGTTGGCACGTCTTCACTCCTAGGCTAAAATCCACACTTCCCAGATCTACTCCAATAATTAGTCACGCGCCACACTACTGGCTCACCCAGATCCATCCGCGCCACTTGCACTCGTCACAGATGCCTCCACGTCCGCCATTGGTGCCGTGCTACAGCAACGCTTCAAGAACGCCTGGCAGCCCCTGGCATTCTTCTCAAGGAAACTCAACACGGCCCAGCAAAAATACAGTGCGTATGACCGCGAGCTGCTGGCCATCTACGAGGCCGTAAAGCACTTTCGCCACATGCTGGAAGCGCGCCACTTCAGCATCTTCACAGACCACACACCTATCACCTACGCTTTCCAGCAGAAAAGGGACAAATGCTCACCAAGGCAATTCAACCACCTGGATTTCATAGCACAATTCACGACCGACATCCGACACATCTCGGGACAGGACAATGTTGTTGCCGACGCGCTCTCCCGTGTCGAGTCCGTCACTGCGCCACCATCCTACGACGCATTGGCCGCATCTCAGGACAGCGACGACGAGCTCCAATCACTTCGGCAAACACCGCTTTGCGGCTCGAAAAGCTACCGATCCCTGGTACCACGGTGTCCATCTACTGCGATACCTCTGCCGGGAAACCTCGGCCGTACATCCCAGCTCCTCTACGGTTCGAAGTGTTCCAGTCCGTCCATGATCTGTCGCACCCAGAGACCAAAGCAACAGCAAAACTGGTCGCACAGCGTTTCGTGTGGCCAGGCGTGCAGAAGGATTGCCGCACCTGGGCACGTGCTTGTCCTTCCTGCCAGCGCTCCAAAGTCACATAGTGACTCCACTGGGCGACTCTACACTGCCGGCAGCCAGATTTCTTCACGTCCACATAGACCTTGTTGGACCCCTTCCGACGTCAGGAGGCTACACATACTGCCTCACTGCAGTCGACAGTTTCACCCGTTGGCCAGAAGTCATCCCCATTCCGGACATCACAGCCGACACAGTGGCACGAGCCCTACTGACCGGCTGGATATCCCGCTTCGGTTGCCCACAGACCATCACCACCGACCAGGGACGTCAGTTTGAATCTCAACTCTTCCACTCCCTGGCCAAGCGCTGTGACATTCAACTCTCGCGAACAACTGCTCACCACCCAGCGGCTAACGGACTCGTGGAACGTTTCCACCGAACACTAAAGGCAGCCATCACGTGCCACGCAGACCATCATTGGACAGAAGCCCTACCCCTGGTTCTCCCCGGAATCCGCACGGCATTCAAAGAGGACCTGCAGGCATCAGTAGCTGAGCTCGTGTACGGCGAGCCGCTAAGTATACCAGGAGAGCTGCTAACTCCGACTGCCAACCCAGTGGATCCAGCGCACCTCATCACCCAACTTCGCCAATATATGGCCCGCCTCAGACCAATTCCAGCAACACGCCACATCTCCCCGGCTACATTCGTGCACAGCGACCTCGAGAAGTGCACGCACGTCTTCCTCCGGCAGGACACGACTCGTAGATCGTTGGAGCCCCCCTACAGCGGCCCCTACCAGGTCCTATCACGGAAGGAGAAGACAATGCAAATCCTCGTGCGCGGCAGGCTCGCCACCGTGTCAACCGTTAGGGTCAAACCTGCCTGCATGTTAAACGAGACAGGCCGTGGGACCACCACCAAGACCTTCAACCCTGCAGCCGACGAAACCCCAGCCGCGGTTCCGCATGCCGTACCACCACAGCCTGTACAACGAACTACACGCTCCGGACGTCATGTACATTTTCCTGATCGCTTCAGCAGCTGAGCAACCATCTCCGCGGGGGGGTGATGTGGGAACGGCCCACATTCAAGCAAGTGTGACAACGCGAGCTTCATTGCTTAGCAACGACGAGAAAACAGCGGTTGCTAGGCAAAACCTACAACAATACGGACAGTGACATGTTTTCTATATGTCCGACTCTAGGTTACATAAGAAGATACATTGAGTGACAGTTACAGTTCTAAATTTCTACAGTTCTACAATTGTACTTCAGTGTTCAAGGTGTTCACTATTGTTATTACTATTCTTCAATTCTTCAAGCTAAAGTTCGTCTGTGTATACCGTATAACTGTAATAAATACTATAGGACAGTTCAACTAGTGGTTGTCTCTTCATATAATGACGTCCCACAGGTCAATTGAAAAAAAAAACAATGACCTCATCGGGACTTGAACCCGCGACCTGAAGGATTCAAAGTGACAGCTTTATTTTTGTGCATGAAAAATTGGAGTGTAGTTTAAGGTACTTACAAATCTGCCATGCTACATTCCTTGACCTATTATGACGTTCAGTATGACGAAACAATTTGCGGTTCAGTGGAGGGGAGAGAAAGAAGCAGGAGACACACGGAGATACCAAAATGGCGTAACTCCTCTGACACAATAACATACCTTGCAAAACTTTAGTAGCACATTCTTTGAAAGATGTTTCTGCAGCAGTATTGTACGGTGGCCATTTTATTTTGGTGGTAATTGGTTACCACCAAAATAATATTTTGTGACGAGTATATATGAACTTCTTAATGTGAGATAAACTATAATCTTAGATTAATAAGTTAATTTATACTCTTCACAAAATAGTATTATAATGGGTAAGCAAATCAAGGAAGGTGGGATGCTTGGGGAATGTAGCATGCATGGGTAAGGCTGAGAAATGCATTCATTGACGCCGTTTAGTATGAGGTACTGACAGTGCCATGGGATAACATACAAAAAGGAGAGAATGCATTCAAGATTTCAGTAAGTAAATCACTTGGGAGACCTACTCATAGATGGGGAGATATTATCATGGATCTAAAAAATAGAGGGCATGAGGATGTGGACTGGATTTATCTGGCTCAAGATAGGATCCAGTAGTATTCGGTTATGAACTTTGGCAGACAAGGCCTACCATCTTCTAGATCCACCAGCTTTCACTGGCTGTAGCAGGACTTCGTGGGTTAGATGTGGAATCTGTGAACTCCAGTATCGATTATTTTGCGTATTTATGTATCCCTGCAGGTGAAACCACGCTTAATCAGAAAAGAATGTCAGTTGTGGATCGATCCCTCCTTCGACGACAGACTGTAGAAACCAGCTGCAAAACTGAACCCTGCCAGTTGGATCGCGCGGCTGCAAGACGTGGATTGCTGTTGCTTTATAGGGTCAGAGCTTCAGCAGTTGTTTTGCTCTTCTTCCACTAGACTTTGAAACTCCAGTCTCTTGAGCTAGATGTTTCTGTGTGTGTTCAAGTCTGGCCCCTGTGTCATCTAACTTCTCCTCAGTAAGCAGTCGTGGCCTATTTTTTTTTTGTATTAATAGTCCCGTTGTTTTCAGTTTATTCAGAAAATTGTTAATTGTTTGTCTGCTTGGAACTGTCTCATCAAGAGATTTACGTCGAAATTTTCGCCGACACTTTCTAGCATATCCGTATTTCACATAGGTGTTATATAGAAATACACGTCGCTCCAAAGCAGCGATTTTCAGTCTCTGTACCTCGGCACCCTGGTGTGACGCCAAGGGTCTGCAGGTTTGCCGCCGGAGCTTGGGGGAAGTTCGGAAATAATAGAAAAAAAATATCGAGGAATAAAAAAATCGTATAAATACATGATCAACGTTTTAAAAGTATGATTAGAAATTTTTCCCCCTTGGCACTACAGCCCCAGTAGGCCTAGGCCTACCTCCATGAACTTCTCCGTTCACTTCGGTTTTTCACGATCTTACAAATTCGGTAGGACCCCTTGGGCGGGTGATCAGCTCGTCGCAAGGCCTCTACCTGTATACAAGATTAGAATTTTAGCTACTGGAATTTTAAACACAACCTCATTACTCGTTTTCAATGATAAAATCTCCCCTTAAAAACTGATGATGTGCCTTAACAATTGCAACGCCTTTTTCGGTGTACCATGTGTTGAAAAAGTCTGCTCTAAAGTATACCGCACCATGACGTACCGCACTGCTCGTTAACTGAAACTGAGAACAAATGCCTTAGGGAGCTGATAGCTGCTGCCTACTGCTACAAATTCCCACGCATAAGCCGCACTACTCGCCGTGAAACATAATGCCGTCAAAAGGTGCGCAAGTTAATTACATCCCTTCATTCCAAAAGTTATCGGCCATCAGGCATGCTGATTCACCGGCAAAATTCGTATGCGCCTCGCAGCCGGCGACGCACCGGCAATCTGAACTGAAGTCGGCTTAAAGTGAATTTCAGCTTTTACAAAATCGACCGTGGATCCGCTTTCCAAGGTATTTCAACAATTTTCCTGGCAGTAAACTCAAAGATGTAAGTACTAGGTAGTACCTCTCCCCTCCGTGGAAATTTGCGTGTGGTGGCTGTCGGGGTGGAGGTGTCTCTCTGGAGTGTCTCCTGCGCTCCAGGACCTGACCGATGTAGTCGGCCAGCAGCATTCCTGACATCCTGCCCATACTGCGCGCCAGAACTGGTGGCAGCACGCCGTACGGATTCTCATTGTCTGTCAAACCCAGCTTGTCGAAGTCGACTGTAACAAGACATACGGATGAAATGAGGCGCGCAGTCTTCTACACACAACAAGCAGATCGTGCCAATTCGTTCGGATGTTTCGTCTCCGATTGTGGCTTTAATTTAATTCCGAGTGTCTACATTAAAAATTGCCGGTCGAATTTAGCTCTGATATTTATCGGTTTAATACAGTATCTACTTTACTATATCGATTTTTATTGAAGAATCCAATTTTTCATAAAATATATTTCTCTTTAAGTCATTCAATTTTAATTTCAAATGTCTTTGTATTTGAGACAGATATATTTTAATCATAAAATAAGTAAAGTAAAGATATTCCTGTAAGAGGCCGTGGTGTCCCATGGGGTTTGAGATGTTGAGGTTCCCACATTTTCTAGACATTCGGCTCACAGATGGCGGAAAGTTTGTCAGCCCTACGCTCCGGCCGCCTTTTACCCCCAAGCATATTCCAAGAATATTCCTGGTACTCACTTCTGTTAGAGGCTGTGTCGACTCCAGGGTCATAGTGCGGCTGGAAGGATTAGGTCAATTGAAAAAATCCAATGACCTCATCGGGACTTGAACCCGCGACTTTCCGGCTTGTAGCATAGTGCCTCAACCAACTACGCTATAATGGAAAAATCACTACCCCGCAACAACAGAGCTTCTACACTGGCAATTCTAAGTTCTTACTTCTGCTACTAGAGTGCAGCAATGAGGCCAATGAAGATAAAAACATTTTTAGCAATAACATATAATTTAATAATTACTGAGGTGTTTAATAAAATACGAGTGGAAGATAATGTATTCACATCTGAGTATAATTTACTTTTCAGTAGATTCGTTAGTAATATATTGTATCTGTATTTTGTTTGACTTCAGTGATTATTAGATCATACTTCTAAAAGCAAGGTGAAGTTGTCCCTGTGCTTAACTAATTAAGCAGTACGACATGAATTCATATGTGGGAATGGATGTATTCATCCACGTACTGTTGACCTCGGCAGTAAATGGATGTGAGTGGTCAGCTTCACTCCCCGGCCGCTTTAACCCCAGGAAATAACCCTGGTACCCACTGGTTAGGAGGCTGAGTGAGCCCTAGTACAGGTCTGAACGACGTGGAGAGGGGAAAAATCTTGCCTCTACCGGGACTCGAACTGCAAACTCTCGGCCGTCCAGCCCGTATCCAGTCGCTATTCCGACTGCGCTATCCCGGCTCTATGTCTTAGTTCTGTCAGTAGAATTCAACGTTAAAAGAAATAAAACGGAAGAAACGAAGGAATTTTTATTAGTGTGTGTAATAAATAGGTGCACATTTCCAAAGAACACGTTTAAAAGTAGGCTACCTGTAGGGGCATTCCGACAAAGGCCAGTGGTTATAGCCTGTGACAGTGACGTAGTTTCTGGCTAATGAACAATGATGAGGTGGAGTAGAAACACTCTGCAGAATGAATAGTTTTGTTTCTTGCCAAGTAACCATTGGCCTATGGCCGCGCCATAGCTCAAGCGGTTAGTTGCTGGCTTCCCACCGCGACGGCCCGGGTTCGATCCCGGGTCTGGTTAAGTGGGATTTGTGGTGGCAGGTTTTCTCCGTGTACTTCGGTTTCCCCTACCAATCTTCATTACACCAATTGCTCCACAATCGCCCTCACCTATCATCTGTGGCTGTTTCAGTTGGCCAGAAGTGGCCGGAGTACAATGGACAGAGTCCTACTCCACTAGGAATTAAAAAGAAAAACCATTGGCCTTGGTTAGGGTATGCCAACAGTTCATTCTTCCTCCAGCATCCTAAACGGTCACGTACTTGTAAATGGCAAGCTGATGGACATGTTTGACAAGAAGCCATCAGGTGGGTAGCGAACGAAAGGTAGTGACAGGGACGGTGTGATGACGAGGGCGGTGCCTGGTGGCAGGGCCAAGCGACCATCATTCGTGATCCACAGTATTCGCTTCTGTCTGGAGTGCGGCTCATCATCCGATCCGTTTGCAGGAACCAGAGCTGCAGCCAGCAGGGCCAGTAGCCATGCCGCGTGTGCCCGGAATTCCATGGCTCCAGTTTCCTGAAACAGGAAATGTTAATACTGTGCTGGAAGAACAGAATGGTTTGAGGAAAGGCCGCTGTTGTGTACTTACACCGAGAACACAGATCTTCCATACAGTTGCAATAATTGTGCAGATGAGTAGTGTCCAATCGAAAACAGTAAAACGTTATATCGAGCACTGTTTTAGCCTTAACCTTCTGTGCGTTTATTCGGGAGATGTTTCGTTCACGTCTCGGCTAGTATGGCGAATATCCCGACGGGAGAGTTTTTGTCCCTTTCTCAATATTTCCAGGAAAATATACCTTAGCCGTTTCCTTCAAAATCCTTTTGTAAGTCATTATCCATCAGACATCCTACCATATAGATCGAGATTCTGACAGCGTTGTGAAACAAACCACTAAATAATTACATGCTGGTATGAAAGTATGTTATTAAACTCAAATAATATTTAATTTAATCCGGCAATTGAGCTGTCAGCCCCACTGTGACAATGTTTCTACTTGAAATTTAATAATTTCATCCTGCAGACTGAACAAAGATAGTACAAAGTAGGGCCGCGCCATAGCTCAAGCGGTTAGTCGCTGGCTTCCCACCGCAGCGGCCCGGGTTCGATCCCGGGGTCTGGTCAAGTGGGATTTGTGGTGGACAAACTGTTGCTGGGGCAGGTTTTCTCCGAGTGCTTCGGTTTCCCCTGCCAATCTTCATCACCACTTGCTCCACAATCACCCTAACCTATCATCTGGGGCTGGTACAACAGGCCAGAAGTGGTCGCAGTACAAGGGACTTAGTCCCGCCCCACTAGCAATAAAAAAAATAGTACAAAGTACATCCGACGTGTAGAAGATCACAAGAACGACACGTATTGAGTCGGCGACTCAAAACGTTGTCAAGGAACAAAGTTACTTACAGTAACTTTCCCTCAATTTGGGTGTAATTATAATATTATGTTTCTGGACATTATCCATCGTGTACACGGTCTAGTAATGTATCATCGTCGCAATTTTTATATAGTGTTTACTGACTATAATTCTTGGGCAAAGTCATCGTCTGAAAAAACTTTTTCGTCACAGATATTTTAATTATCTTCAGGTAAGCTACTCTCATGTACAGATACTGGGTCCATGATGACATTATGCAGATGTTCGCCCCTGAAATCTTCTTCTTGAAGTATTTTTGTCTGCTTGATACACGACTGCCGAACAATTTTTGTGAAGTTTCGAGAAGACCATTCATTAAAATTTCAACATCTGAAAGCCTGAATGTAGTTTTTTATCAGCCACCTCACGTTTTACTTCAGCCCACACGAATTTTATGATGTTGGCAGTGATATGGTGACAGCGTCACTGCAGTATGACAATAGGCGTGGGATTAGTATCAAGTTCATACTGCACAGTTATGGGCTTTTCAATGGCAGGAAGCCCAGTAGTTCAGCTTGAATCTCGTTTAGGTCACGTGGAATGTTCTCTCCTGAGTACCACATAATGTCTTGGCCTTCCTAGTGTTCGAATCAGGTCCCTCGCCTATAGTTATTGAATGATCACTGGCATTATTCATTATCGTCACAGCTCTCTTATGTTTTTTCCCTTGGCACTACAGCCCCAGTGGGCCTAGGCCTACCTCCATGAACTTCTCCGTTCACTTCGGTTTTTCTAGATCTTACACATTCAGTAGGACTCCTTGGGCGGGTGATCAGCTCGTCTCAAGGCCTCTAACTGTACACAAACACAGAAAAACGCACACACACAAACTAAACATCCATGCACTGAGTGGGATTCGAACCCACGATCCCGGTTTCCAAGCGAGCGAAGACAGTACATGCATTAGAACGCTCGGCTACCGTGACCCGCCCTCTTAATGTTTAGTTCGTCTAATTCTTTTTAGAAGTGAAGTAACTGTTCTTAAAGTATTGATGTACATATTATTGTGGTAATAAGGATTTTAGTAATCTTCGGGGCCGTGAAACTAATTTGGATTCTTCGAGAAAGCCTGTTTCGCACGACCCCGATATGACAAGAAGTTACTCTTCAACTTTTCCTTTCTGGCACTTTCAGACTGCCCCTTTCATTAGAACCTTGCCATGTTTTGCTTCGAGAAAGATACTGGTTAAACCATGTTTCATCGATATAAAACACAATGGGCTCTGATGCTCCTGTTTCTCGATGTCTAATGTTGTGCATTTTTGCGCAGAAAAGTGAATCTGGTGGCTACAGTACACGTCCATTCCATGTAACATTTTTTTACCATAAATCAATGACTTAAATATAAATCCTGTTGGTTTTAATATTTCCCACAGATTACTTAATTTTTTCCTCGCGCTCCCACTTTGGAGCACAGCGTTGAGTTTTCAGTTTCATTATCATTTTTACTTATGGTAGGACTCCTTGGAAGACCTCTACCTAAACACAGGACAACACAAGTACATACACATACCAAAGATCCATGCCATAAGTGGGATTCGATCCCACGATCCCGGCTTCCGAGCGAGCGAAGACAGTGCATGCCTTAGACCGCTCGGCTACCGTGACCGGCACAGACTCTTCATAGGTTCCTGAATTTATAATTCCGCCTTAAGTTTCCTTTTTAGTGTTGAATATCCTCGTTCACCTTTATTTCACTGTGGTTTGTGGACCGATGTTTTTTTTTTCCCCCCTTGGTACTACAGCCCCAGTGGTCCTAGGCCTACCTCCACGAACTTCTCCGTTCACTTCGGTTTTTCTAGATCTTACACATTCGGTAGAACTCCTTGGGCGGGTGATCAGCTCGTCGCAAGGCCTCTACCTATACACAAACACAGAAAAACGCACACACACAAACTAAACATCCATGCCCTGAGTGGGATTCGAACCCACGATCCCGGTTTCCAAGCGAGCGAAGATAGTACATGCCTTAGACCGTGCGGCTACCGTGACCGGCACAATGTTTTTCACCCAATTAAATTTTTGTCAAAAGAATCAAGTCAGATTATTTCCTTAAGCCTCATTACACTTTTCCATGGCGACTCAAACGATGTAGAGGCCCATTTTTTTACACAACGGCGACCTTCTTGCAATAACCTGAGGAAGGTTCACTTTCCAATATTACGATGCAGCAACTAGATCTTGAAGTTTCTGGAAAAATATAAGTGTTCCCTTGTTCTCAGCCTCTTTCTCTATAACATCTTAAAATAGATAATATTTGGCCATTTTTTAAATCAAATTAAAAGATGGCGTGTGTTAGAAACCAACGTTTTCGTCTTCGACCACGAAGAATGTGTCAGCAAGTTCTTCTGAAACAATGATATGTACCAAACGAGTTTGTATCATATTTCAAAGAGCCGTAATAGTACTATTAAATCTTTGTTTAAACGGCGTTTTCTAACAGCAAAATTTGCAGTTCTTAAGTGTTAAATGTATTCTCGTGCCCACGATGCACCACTACAGAGACAAGGGACATTTACAGAGTGTCAAATGTTTCAGGTTGTAGAACTTGGCGGTCTATGGTTAAGGTGCCGGTATTTGGGACGAAGATGACCCTTTTGTTTAGCACAGAATCTGAGTAGCGTGACGTCAGGATTCGGTACAATGGAACTGCATGGAGAGGAATCCTTGAGACTCTGCTGGTCAATAAATTATCCTCATCTTTATGGAGCCCGAGGAGTCAATTTACTCTAATGCATCTTCGAAAGTAATTTCGCCAAGATTAGGCAACCTTGCGGGGGCAGAGAGATCCCCAATATGATGATTTTGATTCCCGTCAAATGTTGAACGTCATAATGACAACTTAGAGATTATACATTAGTATTTTTTTATGACGCGTCCTCGAAGATGTTTTACACGCACCTTAGTGTATTCATAAAAATCCTCCACTGGTCCTCATTCTGAGACTGCTGAATCCATTCCACAACTTCACTCCATATTTCATTAAGAGCTATAGTTACATCGATCTCTCATCCACGCCTACTTATCCCAAATATTCTCTTCTCTTATGGCTTCCCGTTACATTTTCTTATAGATTTTTTTTCGTTCCCATTCGTATCCTACGTATCCTTCTTCATTTAATTATCCTAGTGGTATTTGGTTTCCGGTCTAGAAAACCGAGATTAACGGCCGTAGGACTCCGCTGCGCTGACCACGTGACACCCTCTATCAGAAAAATTTGGCACTAACTTCGCCGACAAGCGGCGGTCGCTCGGTCGGTATAATTCGCTTGCGGACTACAGTCCACGGAGTATGTATGTAAGTGGTATTTGGTTAAGAATATATATGGTGAAGCTCTTCATTATCTGGTTTTCTCAGTTCATTTGTTACTTCCTGTCATTAGTCCAGATATTCTCTTCAACACTTTGTTTTCAAATATCATCAGTCTATGTACGTTACTTAATCAATTAGGGAGAGAGCTGAGGTTCTCACGCTCAAAAAACAAGCCGTAAATTAGAGCTCTGTAGATTTTCGTCTTTTGATGTTTAGACAGAAGACCAGATGATGGAAGTTTCTGAACCGAATGGTAGCATGCATTTCCCTAATGTAATGTGTTATTAACTTGTTGTACGAACATCTTAACACAGCACAAAATTAGTAGTCGGTACAGATTTGAACTAAACCATGTAAGTTCCAGTCTTCTGAAACGAATTTCATCTTAGGGCGCGAGGATTCAGACCAGATCTGATACTGCGCATATGTCAGGGACAATGAAAAGGGATACTCTCCAACAGTCTAAGTTTTTCATGAAAAATACAGCCATTTAATGCTTTGGTAAGAAAGCAGAAAGTAGAGAAAAAATATTAATGTGACAAGCAGCGTTAAATATATTTTCACTAACTTAAAAAATTCTGACAAGATATGGACTCATGGAACTGAGTCCTTCTTGAGAAGCCGCCAATTGTGCAGCCACCCAAGAACTTCCCAGCATTTTATGGAACCCGAAGGTTCATTACCTTGTTCACAAGAGCCTTCCACTGATCCCTATCATAAGCCAGATTAATCCAATCCATACCATCCCATTTCATCTATCTAAGATCCATTTTAATATTGTTTATCCAC